GCACTCTACCCAGGGGGACAGCTTGAGGCTCTGTCTCAAAAAAAAAGAATTTGGATTTTATAGGCAACAGGGAGACACCAAGTAGGGGTAAGATTCAGACTTTATTAAGATTTTTCTGGCCACAGGGTGTAAACTGGATTAGAAGTGGGGAAGGCTCACGCCTGTAATCCTACACTCTGGAGCACTCTGGGGGGCAAAGCAGGAGAATCACTTGAGGTTAGGAGTTTGAGACCCACCCTGAGCAAGAATGAGACTCCCCATCTCTACAAAAAATAGAGGCTGGACACTGTGGCTCATGCTAGCCCTCTGGGAAGCTGAGGTGGGAGCATCTCTTGAGCTCTGGAGTTCAAGACTAGCCTGAGCAAGAGTGAGACCCTATCTCTACTAAAAATAGAAAAAGTAGCCAGGCATTGAGGTGGGCACCTGTCTCAAATAAAAAAATAAATAAATGAAAAAGAAAGGAACAAAGACGGGAGGGAGGGACAGGGACTAGGGAGAATACTGTGATAATGGGAGTAACAAAATGGAGCGAAGGGCGGAATGCCAGGGAGAGCAGAGTTGCCACATCGCACGGGTGAGAGGCAGGACAAGGTCATGTCCCAACTCCGATTCTGGGTATAAGCATAGTGGAAAGGTGATACTGGGTTTTCAATCACCTGAGTATGAGATGATGACAGGATGGCCAGAGTAAAGGACAAAAGGTAAAAGCAAAAGTGGGCCGTGCAGTCGGACAGGAATGGAGTTGCAAGAAAAACACTGGAGACAGGAAGACAGGAAATCACAGCACATTCACGATAAAGACAGCAAGTTCCTCAGGTGCCTGAAGAGCCCAAGGAAAGAAGCTGCCTTATAATGAGGTGAGCTGGGGGAGGGAAAAGAGAGGAGGTGGTCTTGAGACTAAGTCTTGGATTCCGCATTGGTTTCAACAGGTTGAAAAGGGGAAGGTGGGGAGTTTTAGGTAGAGGAAGTCACTCACAAAGGCACAAATCTGCATCAGGTGTCCAGAGAGCCAGGATGGGGACGGGTGGGTGCAGGGTGGGCTGGGGGAGGCTGGGAAGGTGCTGGTGCTGACTCGGGAGGGCTTTGTATACCAGGCTGTGAGGTGGAGGTGCTACTGTGGGAGTGGCAGGAAGCCATCAAAGGCTTCTGAGCAGGAAAAGGATGGGAGTGGCGTGGGGTACAGACTAGGAGGTGCACAGATGAACAGGTCTGCACACGAGGAAACCAAGCCTGGGCCCCGGAGGGGAGCAAGGCTGGGAGAGTGATGCTCACCTGTGAGCTGGCGGTCCCCTCCACCTTCTGCTTGCAGGTAGGCAAGGTCAGGGTGCACCAAGAGTCCAGGATTGTAGCCCCTTATACACGCTTCTGTCATTCGTGCTTCCAGCGTTTCAAATACTTTTTTCTTTGTCACATGAAGTATACCCAGGTTTGCAAAGCTGGAGAAAAAGTAATAGCAGCAACAACCACCATCAAAAGTTAGGCAGTGAATGAACGACTAGAGATTCTGGCTTCATGCTGGTAAAGTGGATTTAAAATAATACATAGGTCCTCAGCATCTCAGCCAGTCCCTAAGGCTGGATGCATTTCAGAATGCAGGGAGTTTTTGGTGTTAGGAAGGTAATACAGGCAAAAACTGCATATTGAATAATACTCTCAGCAGGTGTAGGGCACACAGTGTAATCAAATACACTAATATTTCCGTAGTGAAACATAAGTAGACTAGACTCACCAAATGGAAAAATAAAGACTATAAACAGCAAACAGCTGCACGCCCAGTCAGATTGGATTCTGCTCCCAAATGAGTCTATAGTAAGCTGGGAATAAACTCCAGGTTTTCAGAGCTCGTTAGACTTCCAAATTGTGATTAAGGGAGTGGGGATATATATATATCTCCCCTTCTTAATAAGGATGTTTTCCCTGGATTTTAAAGTATTTTCTATAGAATTTATATAAAAATGTTGAATTCCAAATATAGCATAGATCTTTATTTTTTAAGAATAAGAGAAATATTACATTTGGGACAATTTTTATCTTCTTTTGAATCATGCTTGGGTTTCTGAATGGGATTTAAAGTCTACTTGGAATTCCACCTCCTCCTGAGTTATCTATCAGGTTGTGGGAATTATTTATGATCATTAGACGTATCATCTAAGTATACATGTACAATCAGGAATGGAGAACCTTTTATCTGGAAGGCTACATCCCTACAGAATAAAATATATTCATAACGTAAATAAGGCAATTGAAGGGGCTTTAAGAAAATGTATAAAATGCTCCAGCTATTCACTTTTGAAATAAAGTACATGGAACAAAGACATGTATTCAGAAAATATACTACAACAAACAAAAAAAGGACTTTACCAAGGAGACTCATTCATTTACCAAATATTGATGTGGATTCTTATTAGTGCCCAGGCAGGATCCTAGGTACTTTTTTTAGCAATAGAAGAATTTTTGCCTTCATAGAACTTACATGCTACTGTGAAAACAAAGAGGAAAAAGAAAAGCAGGAAATTAAACAATGTAATTTAGAAGGCAGTGAGTGTTATCAAGAATGGTAAGGTAGGAATGGGGAGCAGGGGCAGCTGAAGGAAAAGGCATAGCACTTTAAAACAGGGAGAGGCAGGAAGGACCCTCAGTGAAAAGACGACTGCTGGGCTAAGACTTGGAAGAAGCAAGGGGGAGATGTGAACGCGTGAATAAAGAAAATTCATGGCAGAGGAACTGCAAGTGGGAAGATTCTGAGGTAGGACCATGCTGGTATTTTCAGAAGACACAGAGGCCAGGAGGTCAGGGTGGCTAGAGTGAAAGACTCTGAGGCAGGACTGTGCTGGCAATTTCAGAAGACACAGCAGCAAGGTAGTCAGTGTGGCTGGAGTGAAACGGGCAGGGGATCAGGTACAGGCAGGGGCCAAGGAGGGCAGAGGGGAGCCCAGATCTCTTAAGACCTTGCAAGCCTTTCTAAGGACTTCTCTTTCACTCTGGCTTTTACTCAGAAAGAAAAAAAACGATCAGTAGAGATAAGAAAGCAGCATTATAACAAGAAGACTGAATGAAATAAAGAACAGGCTAATGTGGGAAGGTCAGATAAACTTGGGAAAGAAAATGAGGCCAAGGCAGAATGAAATAGAGAGGCCCAGCGACAGAATGAGAAGGTAGAAATGGCAAGTCTACAGAGATTTTTGAAAAAATGGTCAGCTGAGACACACAGAAAGACTACGCTATTAGAACACAAACTCTTTGAGTGCTTAAAATGGTGCCCAGCATGTAGGTGTTCAATACATGTCCAATGAGTTAACAAATGAATGAATTAATGCAGCACAGAAAAATACGAATCATGACATACTGATGTGCATAGGGGCACAGGGAGTTTTTCAGAAATAACACCTCCATCCTTTAGCCAGTTAGGTCTTAAGTTCTATACAGAACATCTGCAACTATAGGAAAAACGGAGCTATCTCCTAGGCAGTGGCAAAGATGAAGACCTGTGTAGGAATTTGCACTTTATCATCTATAACATATTTTTCATGTATAGTATCTTATTTAGTCCCACGAGAAAGAATAATGAAGGATTTATTCCAGTAACAAATGAAAGAATACAGAAGTCAGTTTTCTGTGTCAGGTAATGATGGAGTAAGATAGAGTGGATTGAACCTTAAATAACTAAAATAAATATGAAAAAACAGTTTTCAGACACAAGACAACAGGCAGCACAGAACAGGGATCCTTAAGAAGAGAGAAATAAATGAGAATTCTACAATTACTCTGGCTTAATGCCTAGAGAGAGTTCAAGGCTATAGCACAGGAAGGAGGGACCCCCTCAGAGCCCGGCAATCTCCCCGAGGTTAAGAAGACACAGTTGAACATTTGAGGAGGCACAGGAGGCTAGAAGTCACAGGCAGAGAACCAGAGAGGAAAGAACTGCATGGCGAGAGGTACTTAGCGATCAACGCAACTCTTTAGCTGAATGATCAGAGCATGTATGTGGAAAAACTACCTAAAGCTGGGAAAAGAACTGCAATTAAGGGACAAGCAGAACAATTCCTGCAACACCCACATGGCTGGAACAGTTCAAGAAACCTAACAATACCTGCAGTATTCAGTTAGACACTCAGAAAGGCACTGCCTCAGTAATGATGTCAAATCAACCCTGGAGTGAAGGCTTCTCTGGTCTCCCTAACAAAATTTTGAAGTAAATCTAGAAAGGATCAAACTGTTCCCAGATTTAATTTTATCTCAATTCTATATTTATAGGCATAGAAAACAATTCTAGCACTCAGCAAAACAGAATTCAAAATGTCTATCATCCAATAAAAAGTTACCAGTCATGGGAAGAAGTAGAAAAATATAATTCATAATTAGGATTAAAAAAATCAAAAGAAACAAGTCCAGAAATGAACCAGAAGACAAAATTTGTAGATAAGTGCATTGAAATAGGTATTTTAGGTTTGGCACCTGTAGCTCAAGTGGCTAAGGTGCCAGCCACATACACCAGAGCTGGCGGGTTTGAATCCAGCCTGGGCCCGCCAAACAACAGTGACAGCTGCAACCAAAAAATAGGCAGGTGTTGTGGCAGGCACCTGTAGTCCCCGCTACTTGGGAGGCTGAGGCAAGAGAATTGCTTAAACCCAGGAGTTGGAGGTTGCTGTGAGCTGTGATGCCATGGCATTCCACCCAGGGGGACAGCCTGAGGCTCTGTCTCAAAAAAAAAAAAAAAAAAAAAAAAAAAGAAACAGGTGTTTTAGATATATTCCATATGATCAAAAAGATAGAAAGCAGTAGCATGTTAAGAAGGTACATGGGAGGTATAAAAAAGGACTCCAAACAAACCTGCAGAAATGAAAACCTCAATGTCTGAGAAAATCCACAGATGAAATTAAGAACATTAGACACTAGAGTTAAAGAGTAGTGAACTTGATGTAGTAATAAACCACCTAAAACGAAGCAGAGCAAAAAGATGAATAAAGAACAGATCATCAGTGAGCTGTGGGACAATTTCAAATGGCCAAATATATTTATAATTGGATTTCAGAAAAAGAAGAAAATAGGAGTGGACTGAAAAAACTATTTGAAAAATTAACAGCTGAAAATATAAACCTAGAGATCCAAGAATCTCCAGCCACAGGAAACATGAAGAAAATTATATTAAAAGTCTATCATAATCAAATTGCTTAAAACTAGTGAAAAAAGAAAATCTGAAAAGCTGTAGGAGAAAAAAATGACACATTATATACAAAGAAACAAAGATAAGATTAAAACAGGCTTATTCTTGGAAACAAAGTGAGCCAGAAGACAGTAGAGCAACATATTTTAAGGACATGAAAGAATAATATTGTCAACCTATAATTCTATACTCTTCAAAATTATCTTTGAAAAACAAAGATAGAATGAAGACTTCTGAAAGAATTCATCAGCACTAAATCAGCAGTATGAAAAACGGTTAAAGGATGTGCTCCAGGCAAAAGAAAATGACATCAGTTAGAAATCTTGACCTATGAAACAAAACGAAGAGGAGTGCAAATGATAAATATATGAGTATTTATTTACTAATTTGAAAAGTTCTTTAAAAGATAGTTGTTTAAAGCAAAAATAAAAAATAACATATTGTGGGTTTTATAACATATATGGGTGTAAAATATATGACATAATAGCACAATGGTGCAGAGGGAGAAATGAGCCTCTTGTTCTAAGGCTCATATACTACATATGAACAGGCATGTTATTTAAAGAGAGACTATGATAAATTAAAGAGGTGCAGTATATACCCTAAAACAACTGCTAAAATAGACAAAGAGGTACAAACCCCAAAAGAAAGATAAAATGAAATCCTAACAATTAATTAATCCATAGAAGGAGGAAAAGGAGAAAGAACAAAGAATAGATATGACAAGTAGAAAAAATAGCAAGATAACAGACTGACCCTCAGTCACAATAATAATCTCATGAAATACAAATGGCCTAAACATTCTGATTAAGTCAGAGAGCAAGACCCAACTATATGCAGTCTATATTTATTTTGAATATAAAGATACAAATAGGTTAAAACTAAGAGGATGGGGAAAATGTTCTATGATGACATCAGCAAAAGCAAGCTTTCATAGCAATATTAATATCTGTATTCATAATGATAAAGGTTCAATCCCTCTGGAGGAGATAACAATCCCAGATGTTTATGCATCTAATAAAAGAGCTTCATGATGCAAAAAACAAAACCTTATAGAACTGAAAGAAGAAACAGATATATCTATAAGAGAGAGATTTCAACATCTGTCTCTCAATAATTAATTGAGTGGTGGTGGCTGTCTGAGTATTTGTCAAAAACTCCAGTAGACAGAAGATGAGCAAGGAAATAGAAGATCTGAATACTGTAAAATGACTTGACTGACATTTATAGACAATCCACCCCAGAAGATAAGGATTAACAATCTTTTTAAGTATACAAGGAATATTTTCTAAGACATACCATAATGTATTTTGACCCAAAGAAGGAAACTTAATCAATTTAAAAGGCCTCAAGTTATACCAAGTATTCTCTTATAATGGAATTACCAGTAAATCAGATATCAACAGCCAAAAGATATGGAGGTTGGAGTCTATTTAAACCAAGATTTGACCATGAAATAATTAATTGTTGTTGCTGGGTGATGGGTGCAATAGGGGCTCAATGTACTTATTCTTTCTACTTTGTATATGTTTGAAAAGTCTGTAATAAAATATAAAAGAAAATGAGAGGAAACTATTATTATTAGCACAAGGAAAGAAAAAATTTAGGATCACAGATGCTCATACATGAGAATGCAGAATGGTACAGCCACTTTGTAAAACAGTTTGGCCATTTCTTTCCAAGATCAACACAGAGTTAGCATATATTCCTGAAATTCCACTCTTCAATATTTACTGGAGAGAAACGAAAATTTATGCTCACACAAAAAGTGGCTTTATCATCAAAAACTGGGAAGAAACCAAATGTCCTTCAATGATAAACAAATCAGGACACTGATAGAACAGAACACTGCATGGTAACTGAAAGGAGTGACTGCTGAGACATGTGACAACACACAGGAACCTTAAAGGTTCCCACTATAGGGAACAAGACAAATGCCAGAAGGCTACATGGCGCATAATTCCAATTATATGTCATTCTGGAAAAGGCAAACTCTAGGGACAGAAAATGGGACCCAGAGGATACAGGGGAGACTTCACTACGAAGGGGTACAAAGGGATTTTAGAGGTGAAGGAACTACTCTGTATCTTGATTGTGGTGGCTGTATGAGTATTTGTCAAAACTCACAGAGCTGTATACTTTAAAGGGCTAGTATTTAATAGTGTAAGTCTTTAAATTATACATCAATAAACTTGATGGACTTTTTTTAAAAAGAAAGGTTACCATAGCTAATAATGGGACTGGGACTGGTGCCATATTCTTCTACACAAGTGTTTTTCAAAACCAGCAGCACCAGCATTATCTTAAAATTCATTAAAAAAACTCCCCACCCCAACATAATGAATCAGAAACTCTGGAGGTGGAGCTAGCAATCCATTTTAAGAAACCTTCCAGGTAATCCTGATGGACCCTGAAGTTTGAGAACCACTGCACCACTTGACTCTATTCAAGGATATCAGAATTTCTGGGAGTAGAGCCTAGAGCCTGGTATCTGTATTTTTATAAAGTGACTCAGGGTACTAATGGCCAGGTTAGAAACTCTCTGCACTATGCCAGATGTTTCCATCATCGCACTCATCTGGGACCTGTTGCTGCGTTTGAATCTCCCCGTCACTGTGTTGGGATTCAAAAATAGCCCCTTTTTCTGGCCTTTCTTCCTCTCAGGACTCAAACATTGACTTCACAGGATTCAAAAGCAACCTCTGACTCATAGTGCACACTCTGCTTTGGAAGCTGGATCTTTCCAACCTCAGACCACACGTCATCAATTTTCTCCAATCAGCTCCTTTCCTGTGTATTAAGGTTCACTTATGAAATCACCAATAATTAACTGGTTTGGACTTCTAAAAATAGCAATTCAATAAGGTTACTAGCTCATTGAGGAGGGCCTTGTTTCTCTTTTGAGTTTTTATATTTATGTATCTATTCCTAGTGCTTGCCAGTTGGTATATACTATATATATTATAAGGGAAGAAAAAATGACTGCATATATCTCTCTACATCAGAGTTGCCAGGAAGCGAACAGAGGGTGTGGTGATTATTGGCAAGGAAAGTGGCCTGAAGCAAAGTCAAATAATACAGACATTTTCCACTCAATGTAAATGTGAAAGACCCAAAGTGGTGTTGAAACAAATTACTGATATTTTTATCTGAAATAAAACACCAAACTAAGATTATTTTTTATCAAGAAAGGCAGTAAACACTAACTACATAAATGAGTAAGAAATAGAAAGACAAAATTAAAGCTAATTAAAAAAAATTAAAAAGACAAATCCCCCAAATCAAAGTAATCAAACCTATAATTAGGACTTGGCTATTTAAAATAGGAATATTTATAACATAGATCACTACATTTGAAAATAGGATCTAAGTTTATTGAGAATTCATGCTGACAGGGAAA